AAGAAGTTCAACCTGGATGCCCCGGACGGCTTCAAGCAGTACTGGCGCGATATTCGACAACCCGCGAAACAAGTCGTGACACGGCAACAAGGCGGCGGTTCAGTGATGGTTTGGGGTTGTATTGCGTGGGAAGGAAAGAGCAAATTGGCCTTTCTTAGTGGCAAGCAGTCGTCCTGCCACTACATCTATACTCTTTCAGAGTATTTACTGCCATTTGCCCACTTAAACTATGGTGCTGATTTTGTCTTTCAGCAAGACAATGCATCCATTCATGTTTCCCATGAAACAATGGACTTTTTTCACGAGCAACACCTCTCCGTCATGCCATGGCCCGCGCGCTCTCCTGACCTGAATCCAATAGAAAACATTTGGGCTGCGATGTCCCGCCATGTTTATGGGCTTGGTAAACAGTACAGAAATGTCCTCGACCTTCGAGATGCGATTCAAAGTGCATGGGACGCCATCTCTATCGAGTTCGTTCGAAAGCTCATTGGCACCATGGACGGCAGATGCATGGAAGTCATTTGCAAAAAAGGCGATAAGACACACTATTGACCATCATTCTTCAATATACCGTCATTCTTTATATTAGTTTTTGTATGCATTTTTGTTCCTTAATTTTGTCGCCGTCCATTATTTTTGAATTGTATGTGAGGTCATCGAAATCAAGCGAATTCCAGTTCGATAGCCATAATCACTTTTCGAGAATATTCGTCCACACATCATATCAAAACAGCATCGCTTAACTCCCATTGGTTGATGAGATATCACAAAAAATGTAAGTGTTCTCTCATTTTTGGCGCGCACTGTACAGTGAAGGGCGGATTTTAAGCCACACTCTCGCTCGAAGTTGAGTAGGTTTCTCAAGATATAATTGGCTAGTAAACTTCGAAATACGATGAATATTCTGACCAATAGCTTTTCCATGGGGCAAGAATTGTCAAATTAAATTAAATATCCAAAGTGGGGGCTCTGCATGAAGCATACAACAACACAATAGAATTTCCCACTCGTCGTTTTTTATTCGTTTTGTATGAACCCAACGCCAACATGACCGCCTTGATCAGGGCTATCGATTGTAACTAATTTGAAAACGACTGGAAGCCAAGTTATCACGAAAATACTGTTTTTGGGTGCTTGCGGCGGCGAATGCCGTCCCAAGCACTTCTACTGCGGATTTGGAATCGCTTTGAGGAAACTGCCACGAATCTGCTCCGGTGTGATCTTCTCCCACGCGTCGATCGCCCTCTTGATCATCGTTGTCCGCTTCACATGCGCCGCAGGTGACATCCAGTTCGTCGTCGTTGTCGTTGTCGCTGTGGTTCACCATGCCTTCTATTATACACAGATCACGCATATGGCGCTTGAAAGGAGCCATGATCTAGACATCGAGAGGTTGGCAATGGGGAGTTGCGTTTGGCGGAAGCGGGCATACATCGAAACCGATTTCGGCGGTGGTGTCGACCTCTTCCTTGCTGACGTGGGAGTCGAAGTTGTCGAGAACTAGGAGCGACTGTCCGTCGATCCGTTCAGCCAATGCGTTCCACAGGTACTGCCTTCATACCTCGCCGTCCATCCATGTCTTCGCCTGCATGACGTAGAAGTTTCCTGATGGATAAGTTGGTACCTCATGCGTGTCGATGCGCCACCAGACTGGCCCTTGGTGACGAACAGGATTGACAGTTTGGCTCCATCGCGACGTATGGTCAACACGGCGGTCATGCGGTACGAGTGTTTTTCACCCTTGGACAGCTTGGGTGTGCCCTCTTGCTTGGACCAGATGTACCTTGGTGGCATGTCATACTGAATTCCTGTCTCATCGACCTTGTAGACACAGTCGTTGGCCGTGGTGGCATGCTTGGCATGGAAACTGACAGCGAACTCGGCGCGAGTGCTCTCAAGGTCGGTGATCGTTCTCTTGGCGGTACATGCTTGTTGATGCGTGTATCCATGTCGAACGCAGTAGTGTCGGAGAAGCTTCAAGAGGTTTTGACGCCGAATGTAGTCTTGAAGCCAGGTGTTCTGGTGCTGCTTGAGGAAATTGACCATGTGCGTACATGTTATGGCGCGTTCTTGGTGACGACGGGCATCCATAAACTGCAGAAGGGCGTCGGGCTCGGGTAGTACTGGCGGGCGGCCTGCTCCGCGCAAGTTGGTCGACTTTTTGTTGCACTTAAATTTATAGATCTTGTCTGAAACGCGTTTCTAGTTGCGCACGACGATGTACGAGACCGAGAGGTCGCCTGTCACCTTGCGGATGGACTTGTGCTGTAACAGCGCGATACCTCATTTCTTCAACGACATTGGATACACACACATGTCGGCGACCTCCTCGGGACGTGTTGGGGGTGTCGAGCTCCATGGTGCTTAAAATTTGGAATGCTTTGGGCTCTCTAAATCATGCTCTCGCGGGCTTTGAATATTTCTTTGCGCGCATTTATTTTATAGCCAATGAGACGGCTATAATTCATCCCTTCTATATTATTGGCCATTAATCACGTTTGTAACAACGAAACTTCGGTGTGGCTTAAAATCCGTCCTTCACTGTATCTGATTGGCTAAATCCTTCTGTCGATACTTCTGTACATTTCCTTGTGTCGATTCTTTCTCCATGCCCTTCCAGTTTGAATAAACACAACAATACCGATTGCTCGAGAGTGACTAACTACTTATTCCATGTTTTGATATCATGTAGCTGTCCGTGCACAACTGCTGTACGCTCTCGTAGGCCCATGTGAAATTTGATTACGACAATAGTACCGGTATGTATTGCGATTAGCACATTGCACAAACAAGTTTACTAAATTGTATTATAACTTCTTGCCCGAACAGGGCCTGTTCGGGGAACTTCACTGAACGATCACTGAACGTTTCAACACTGAACAACTTTATTCTGATTGGCTAACTGATCCGAAATCCGGATGCGTTCCGTGTCGGAATTTGGCGGAGTCCACACGAGCGGCGAAGAATCCGCCGTCGGCTCATGCAGGTAGAGGTGGCTAGAGACCCTCCGCGAATGCGCTTTTTGGCGGAATAGTAAGATATGTACGTATGTGTGCGACCTAGTGAATATCACAGGGCTATGCGCAGTAGCGCTCGCGTACCAGCTAACCACTTTCATGGCAGCTTGCATCACCACACGTCTCAGCGACCACGGCAGCACTTCGGTCAATCTTTAGAGTCAATCACATCATAAATGAACCTAATAACTAACGATTACGACGAAGTTGAGGCAACCCGCGCTCATTGCGCATGAGCGAACCAGCGCTCCATCCTTCGATCCGTTCCGACGTTTCCCCGGACATGACAAAATGTTGGCGGGATAAAGTACACGTATAATTCTCATCGTTCAGTGTTGAAACGTTCAGTGATTGTTCAGCAATTTTGCCCGAACAGGGCCTAATGTCATACCACCTTGCTGTTAATGTATTTAGTTTTTGGGTAATTACAGGTATGTTTGTCGATAACTACTTTGAAGAATATTTCGCCAATGAAATCGATGCAAATACGGCATCGCACAGCTCAAGCGACGACGATTCACTCAGAGACATTCCAGACCAAAATAGGTATTTTGCTCGACGTCAAAAGTATATGGCGCGTTACACTACAAAGCTGCAACAACTTCTGGCGTGTATGGCGCGCTTTTTTGGCCCTGACCTGGAGGGCACAGTCAGTGCAGTACAAGGACGTTTGAGCCCTTCACAAGCCCGATGCATGACGTGTCGAAAGGGGCACATGCCTTCGACATTCTGGTATCAACATGTTGGCGTTCATACAAAGCTAGCTACTGGTCACATTGTGGAAGGATTTGACGGTCGACTACCCCCTGTAGACAAAGTTGTCATTTGCTGCACTGGTATCAGCCGTCCATTAATTATCAGTGTGTACACCATGGGCGGAATTGAAAAGCTATCGCTGCGGGGATGCCACGCCCACCCGGTTGGCGACCAACTTGTCGAATTGGGTCTCACGCCAAATCAATTGGAAAATCCAAGTAAGGTCATTAATTAATTCGAATTGAATTTAACGTACAATATAGCGCATGCGTTTTCAATTCAATTGATGGAGCACACTATCGCATTTCGAAGCAAGGGCGTGGCGTATCAATCCATCTTCGACGTTTTCCTGGGCAACTTCTCGACCAACATAAAGGATGTTGCGTACCGCCAATTTATCGATGCGTCACGACAATTTGCAGCCGTGCCATACCTCTTGCGGCATGGGGAGTTTGTTGTCAAGGCGGACGAGCCGTTCCCCAAGCCTGTTTGTCCTGCATGCACCGGGGACGGAGCGACTTCTGCAGGGCCAATTATACCGGTATAATACATTAAATTGTGGCGTAGTGCTGTATACTCTGTGCTGTAAACAATGGACGGATTTGCTTCGGCGAAGAAGTTATTAGCCCGCCATGGTGGTGCTGGTGACTATGGCTCATTTGGTTGGCCCGGCGGATTTTTCATGGAACCAATGCCAGATAATGGTTCGGCCAAGCGCAAGGCAACCACAATGTCGGGATGTTCATCACAGCTACAAGCCGGAAAGGTTTTAAAGGAGCTGCCGCAGAACGACGTGAAACATGATTGTGCACTTGGACTGTATACATGAAATTGTCCTATCGGTGATAGGTAGGCAGTCAATCGAGTTCGCCCAATCCTAAACGCATTCGTAGATGTCGAGCATGGGGAACGACATGTATATGCAGACACGTTCCTGCAATCATTGAAATCCAGTCACGCAGAAAGGCAAATATGGTTCGGCTACGATATTGTCTGCAAGCTAGAAGGTCATTGGAAGGTAGAATTTTTGTTTAAGCAATGAAGTGACTTGAGTACTGTATTGCTCCAAACTAATCTCGCCAATGTAGCTACATGGTATGGAAAAGCCCGACCTATCGTTCCTACCCGTATTGCACGCTTACTGCCACGACAAAAAATGTCAATATCAATTCAGCCCCCGCTTACTCATGGGAACTGGAACTATTTTGGACGGAGAGGGCCATGAGCGAACGAACAGCCGACTATCCCGTAGCATTGGACTGACCCGGCGGGAGGCCACCGGCAATCGCGAACTGGATATCGTCTTGGTGCTCCAAGAGCACAATCGCATCAAAGTGAGGAATGTTTTGGGGGCATACGGAGAAGAAGCTGCGAGCGATCTTTTCCCACCTAACAAAGCTAGCACAAAGTGGATGGCCAACCGAAACAAATCGTGGACGGTGCGTTACCAAAATTCAAATGTCAATCATTTATAAATAATATAAATAGATACGCTGACGTCATTCAAAGTAATTGCTCGTGGAGGGCAGCCGGCTTATCAAGCAGCACATCGTTGACGCTGCGGAACATTGAAGATGATGTACGATGCATCGAATCCATTCAAAAGGTTTTGCGAACGAAGGTTGGGACAAATAAGGCAGCGAAGTTACGCCGACGCTTGCACAAGTTACGAAACGGTGTCGACACTAAATTGGTCAAAATTAATGGTACATAGCTTGTCGATTCATATGGATAATACGTAATCCGTGCGCATTATGGGTAAATAGAGAAGCGTGTGCATCCCATGAGTTTTGAATCAGTCAGGAGCAGCTTGTCAATCTCGGCGTTAAGCGAACCAAATGTATCGTACTGGCGGTACTTAGACAACATATACCATTTGAAGAACGTTTTTGAAGAACGGCCTCGACAATTGGCTAGCGTTTTACAACGCTCAAGCGACACCATGAAGGAAGTTGAATATCATTCTCGAATAGAGAGATGGACGCAATGCGGCACCTTACGAAACAGCGTGTCGCCGATGTTGTGTGCGCTGTACAACGAGCATCATCCGTGAAAGCAAAATGGTTTAGCCCAGCAACAGCTCCGTATTTTCCTCGGCATCTACAGCAAATTTCTGAAGCGATCAACCGTGGGCTCCTGTGACGCCAGTGCGACATTGTCTAACGTTAGTAATAGTTTGTATGAATAGTGAACAACATTCGTCACGAAATTTGAATTGCATAAATGAATGGGTAAACATTATTTGCGCGTGGTTTTTGGGTGAATTTCACGTGGTGGTTTTATGGGGTGCAATAATAGTGAATAAAGCGTGGCTCACAAACCGAAGGTCAAAGTACACGTGGTTTTTGAAACAGAATATTTTAGCATCTCAATACAAAGCAACAAGAAACACAATGCGTGCAAAGTGTACACAGTCATTGACGCTGTTACAATGGTTAACTACACAGCTTCAACAAGGCATTGGTTAACACCAATGCCTTGTTGAAGTCAGAACAAAGATCCACAGTACGTCGTAAATGATGCATTGGTGATCAAGTCGGAGAGTGAGAAAATCTTGAGAATCTGTCAACAGTCATCGATGAAGATGCCGGACGACGTGATTCATAGGTCTATCCAACGTTCAACAAAGCAGCGTTGCGTGGGGGCTTCCTCGTAGACTACGGATATTCTCATGTTGGGTTTCAAATTATCATGAAGGAGATAAATTGCAAAGTACGCCGGGGAAATTGCATATATTCAATACGTATTACTGTCATTTTGAG